CTCCTGCTACCTGAAAAGGCCTGTACTCTCCACCCTGGCTGCATGTAAACGTGCCTGGAGCCCACAGCCCAGGAGCAGTTTTACAAGGTGGTTAAAGGTTCCATCTCTTACATCATACTGCCAGGATTTCAATCTTGGGATCAAGCCCCACATCAGGCTCCTTGCTCAGTGGGGAGCCTGTTTCTCCCTCTCCCTCTGCCTGCTGCCCCCCCCACTTGTGCTCGCTCTCTCTCTGTCAAATAAATAAATAAAATCTTTAAAAAAATAAAATAAAATGGCATTTCTTAAGACTTAAACCCTCCCTAGCAATTGTGAGCCCAGCAACATGTCCTCACAGGACCCTATGTCAGCAGTAAATCCAGAAGAAGGGTTATTTCATAGCACCCACCCCAACCACACACAAGTAGCAGACCACATTCCTTTGTAACAAATGGTTGTCACCATGGCAGAACCACCTTCACCTTATTTCCTCTTGAGAGCCCTTTCTCTCAAGGGAACCCCAAATCAGTTACTGTCAGGCAGAGACTTAGAGCCAACACAAAGACATTGTCTTCATTCTTCCTTCCATTCCTCGTTCTAGTTCTTTATACCTCCCTTGTCTGACCCCCATGTTTGCCAAGTTCTCAACAGGGGTTAATTTATACTAGTTTGGGAGCTTTCAGGGGCAACTGTGTCTCCTACTATCAGCAGCACTAGAAAGTAATCCCACCCTACAAGGTCACACTGAGAGAAGCAAGGAGGGGAACTGGCCTGGCAGGGCACGCTCCTGGCTGCCAAACCCAACAGGGGAAAGGAATTTTTTCATTTGTAGTTAGAGCTCTTTGCTGAGATCTCCCCTAGATCTTTCCTGAGCCTGCTGAATTTAATAGCCTATTTAGTACTAATGGCATGCTTTAAATTAATATTTTGTAGCTAATGTACTGAATGATAGAATTTGGATTCAAAGAATAAGGGAGTGAATCTAACAAGACAACATTTAGCCCAGAAAAACAGACGTTTCTATACTTGGGTTAAAATTAAAATGATTTACATATATGCACCCTTACATTTTTTGCAACGTTATTTACAATAGCCAAACTATGGAAGCAGCTCAACTGTCCAGCAACAGGTGAATGGATAAAGAAGGTGTAGCACATATATACAATGGAATATTATTCAGCCATGAAAAAGAATGACATCTTGCCATTTGCAACATGGATGGAGCTAGAGAGTATTATGCTAAGTGAAATAAGCCAGTCAGAGAAAGACAAATATCATATGATTTCATTCATATGCAGAATTTAAGAAACAAATGAACAAAGGAAAAAGAGATACACCAAAAAAACACACTCTTAACTATAGAGAACAAACGAATGGTTACCAGTGGGGAGGTGGGTGGGGGGATGGGTGAAATAGGTGAAGGAGATTAAGAGTACATTTATCTTGATGAGCACTGAGTAATACAGAATTGTTGAATCATTATACTGTACACCTGAAAGTAATTTAACACTGTAACTATATTGGAATTAAAATTTTAAAAATTAAAATGATTTATATAAGTGTATTAACAGGGATGTGTGAAACAGATTTGGGGGTGTCAGGTGATTGCAATTAAAGTGGATTTAACTGTGTGATATGGCATCTAAAATCTACTATGATCTTAGGATGCATCTACAGATGTATAGTGGTTATTCTAGAATGAAGGTGTGATAAGATCACTCCATTCTACACTAGGCAGAACATTCAGTATTTTCAGAGGCATTTACAAATTCAGAAGCATGTAGGATGGTGAGAGAATTTGAAAAAGTATATCATATCAGAAAGAACTGAAATAACTGGGGAAGTTAAGCCTAAATAAAAAAGTCTTGGTGAGAATGTAATTGTTTAAGGATTAAATGAGATAGCATATTGAAAATGCTTAGCACAATACCTGGCATACATGCTGGATTAATGTTAATTTAAAAAACAATAATTAAAGGGGCACCTGAGTGGCTCAGTCAGTTAAGCATCTGCCTTCGGCTCAGGTCATGATCTCAGGGTCCTGAGATCGAGCCCCGCATGGGGCTCTCCACTCAGTAGTGAGTCTGCTTCTCCCTCTCCCTCTGTGATCTCTCTCGCTTTTGCTTTCTCTCTATAAATAAACAGAATCTTAAAAAAAGCCAATAATTTTAAAAAATTAAATAAATATAAAAAATAAATAATTCATAGTAATATTAGCATTAGGTCATATTATTACTATTTCTATTATTATAGTTAATGCTTACAGAGTGCTTTCTATGTGCTAGGTACCTTTCCAAGTCCTTTACATATACAGACTTACTCATTTTCCCAATCCCATGAGGTAGGTATTATTATGTCTCCAATTTTGCAGATGAGGAAGTTGAGTCACAGAAAGTTCAAGTAGATTGCCCCGTGTGCCTCACAACTGGAAGGGGAAAGAACTAGAACATTAACTCTGGCAGTGTCAGGCTATCAAGGGTAAAAGGCACTTTTGTTAACTTTATTCTTGTTTCGTATCACTCCAGAGGGCAGAACCAACACCAATGTATGTAAACTACTGGGAGGCAGGTATCAACTCAATAAAAGAAAAAACTACTCTGAATGACTACAACTGTATGAAATTTCAATCAGTGTCTTTTAAGGTAGTGAGTTCTTCATCACAGGATGTAAGGGGGAAAAGGATAGAAGTGAAGAAATGAATAAAATAGGGGTCCTCTTGGAAAGAAACCATACAAATGATGAAGCCAGCCTTTGTTGAAAAGAATAAAGAAGGCATAGTGAAACTTGGATTTTAAAAGACACACATCACTGAAAAATTGAAAAGTAAAACATTTATGGAAAAGATACAAAAGTGAATATTTGTCTTGCTATCTCAACACAAAGTAAATTAGATGTTGGAAAAAAGTGACAAAAAGCTCTTAAAATAGGAAAATTCCCATATGAATTTGTTTGGAAACTTACTAGACAGCCTGGGTTTGAAAAAGAAAAGGAGGGGCGCCTGGGTGGCTCAGTCGTTAAGCGGCTGCCTTCGACTCAGGTCATGGTCCCAGGGTCCTGGGATAGAGCCCCGCATTGGGCTCCCTGCTCGGCGGGAAGCCTGCTTCTCCCTCTCCCTCTCCCCGTGCTGTGTTCCCTCTCTCACTGTGTCTCGCTCTGTCAAATAAATAAAATCTTAAAAAAAAAAAAAGAAAATGATCCCAGGATCCTCACAGATCTGATAGCCACCAACCCTAAAACTATAAAATACAGAGAGGAGAGGTATACTTTGCTCTCTGGAAGAAAGGGCACCTGCATGAGAAAGTAGCATCCAGGCTGATATGAGTAGTAAGATGCAGGCATGAGGTTGAAGATCATAAAACACCATTAGATCTAAACATACATACTTGTGATGACAATTGAATATGTTAATATGATTTTAATCCTGCTACTCAGTGTCTGGTCAACAGAATTATTGCATAGTTGGATATGAATATCTTCTGTGATGAATCTTTTGGGTACAGCAGTCTTAGGACCCAGATATTTGCTGATTTAACAAATATACACTTTCTCGACCAGCAACACGAAGAGGTGGCTGGCTAAGGATTTAGAGTCCCAGAAAAAAAAAATATATATATATATATATACATACACACACAGAGAGACACACACACACATACATATAGGGGTGCCTGGCTGGCTCAGACAGTGGAGCACGTGACTCTTGATCCTGAGGTCAATGAGTTTAAGCCCCATGGGTGGTGTGTTTACTTAAAAATTTTTAAAAATAGTATCCATATATACACATATATAATAATGCCAGTCTCCACCAAAAATGCTCCCATTACAGATAATAAATACATTTTTAGACTATTTGTACTTAGATGGACAAATGTGTATTTTGATTTATGAAAATCAAAGTATTCATGTTTTTAATTTACATACTTTACAAACAACTCTTAGAGTTCTAGAACTGAATGATTACTAATATAGACTAGAGCCTCTATTTGTAATACAGGTTTGGGGGCTCAAAAAAATCCTTAAGTCATGGAAAAGTGAAAGCTTATCTTCCATAAAAGTGACCATGTTGATAGGGCCTAAACGGACTTGATGGAGTTAGGGATGTGGATTAAAGCTGGGAAAGGTGACATATGGTATCGATTCATTAAGGACAAATAGTCAAATTTCAGTGCAAGGCTCTGGACTGTAGGGGAAATAATGGGCCTTGGTGGCGAACAACGGGAGAATAAGGGAGAGAGGTGGTATCAGGGTAAGCAGCAGATAAGAGGTAATAACTCCCAAGACTGGATGCTGATCGTCTCTGGTAACGACGAAAAGGCAAATATAAACAAAGAGGTGAGTGACGATGCCTGATGTGTTGCGTGTTAGGAAATACTGGCAGGCGGCAGCACGGCCGCCCGCGGTCAAAGTGGTAACTGGGGATCTGAGCTTGGCGGTGACGCGCGGCCCTCACGTGACCAGGAGCCTATGTCTGCCAAGTCCCTCTCTCCTGGTCCTTTTTGCCTGTCCAGACACCGTCTGCCTCCTGCCCTTTGGTCGAGGGGAAGAGCAGAAGGAAGTAAGTCCCCTTGGTCTTCTTAAATCGGTATGAAGGTCTTTGCTGCCCAGTAACCTCTGGGATTGGGATGGCAGAGAGTACCAGGCCTTTTCCTAGACCCAGCCCCGCCCCCTTCGCCCACATTTCGGTGCAGAAAATGGTGGTCTTGGGGTGAGGTGGGGAGATGAGTGGGGGCCCCTGGGGGACACAGACACTTAGAAATAGTTTCTAAGTAATCCTTTGCTTCCACTTGCCGCCTGAAAAGAAATGACGAGCACTGCGGGGTGCAGGGTGGTGGGGCACGGAGGATGAAGCTTGAGGAGCGGCCTGGGGGAGGGGCAGCAGAGGGGGCCGGCGTGGGGGCGGTGGCTAATGCCCAGGAAAGGGACGTGTGGTGTCAGTCAGTCCTTCCCTCCTCCCCACTCCCCGCCCCCTACCCTGTCTTGCGTCTGTCTGCAGGTCTGCAGGTCACAGCGGTGCGCCTCGAGGAGAGGACGCCTAGAGCAAAGCGCCAGGAGAGGTCCAGGTCGGGGAAAGGGTGGGCAGTGGCCCGGGATGGGGTGCGAGGGAGGACGCTGATGGGAACGCAGTCGGCGGCACCACCGCCACGCCCCTGCCACTGCGGGAGAGGCCTGTGGCAAGGCCTGCTGGGAAAATGGTGGGCTTTCGGGAAGGAGGGGGCGAGGGAGGCTGCGAGGGGTGGGACGCGGCGGGGTCCCCAGGGCCAGAGAGCCCCTCGGCAAGCGTAGGTTGGGGAACCTGGGCCCCGATACGGGAAAAGGCGGGTATGGGAACCCGGGGCCGGGGTTTTGTTCCAGCCACCAAGTGTGTTGACTCTGCCTTGTCTCCTATGAATAACTGTACTTAAAGACCATCCTGAACATGGAAAAATCCTGCAAAGAAAATGAAGAACAGCCACAGAGCGCACCCAAGACGGATGAGGAGCAGCCTCCTGAAAAGCAGTCTCCGGAGCACTCTCCCGAAAAGCAGTCTCCGGAGGAACCATCTTCCGAGGAGCAGTCCTCGGAGGAGGAGTTCTTTCCCGAGGAGCTCCTTCCCGAGCTCCTTCCCGAGATGCTGGTGTCCGAGGAGCGCCCTCCTCAGGAGCGCCTTTCTAGAAGGGACCTTTTTGAAGAGCGCCCTCCCATGGAGCAGCCTCCTTGTGGAGTGGGAAAACATAAGCTAGAAGAAGGAAGCTTTAAAGAGAGGCTGGCTCGCTCTCGCCCGCAATTTAGAGGGGACATACATGGCAGAAATTTAAGCAATGAGGAGATGATAAAGGTAGCAGAGGAGATGGAAGAAATGAAAAGAGTACGCAACAAATTGATGGTTATGCATTGGAAGGCGAGACGGAACCGTCCTTATCCTATTTAATGTGTTCGGCCTTTAATTCTGTTTTGCCTGATATAAGTATGGCCACCTGAAGGTTGTATTTTCTCATATACCTTTCCCCATCTCAATTATAACTTTTCGCGTGGCTTTAATCTAGGTGTTTCATTTGTAACTGGCATAAAATTGGGTTTTCCCCGCCCGCAAGCTGCAAGTTTCCCTTTTTCAATCATGAGTCTCACCCATTTGCATGAAAAGATGTACATTATATATTGTGAAGTGAAAAAAATTTTCGAAAAGTATATGTTGTATCCCATTTTTGTAAGAAATGTATATTTATATATTAATATGCAAAGAAAAAACTGAAAGTATATACTTAAATGGCTTAACAGTGGCTATCTGCGGTAATAGGTGTTTTGGTTTGTTTTTCATTTTTGCTTCATCGGAACTTCTCAATTTTCGAGACATTTTACTTTTGTTGCAAAAAATATATAATGGGAAAAACTTTAAAAACTGTCAGTCAGCTTATAAAGACAATGTGGCCCTTAATAAATACTTCTCAGAACTTTAAAGAAGAAAAGTAAATCCCATGTTTGTTTGTTTTTAAGTAGGCTCCATGCCCAGCATGGAGCCCAATGCGAGCTTGAACTCACAACCCTGAGATAAAGACCTGAGCTGAGATCAAGAGCCAGACGCTTAATGGACTGAACCACCCAGGTGCCCCAATCCCATGTTTCTTTTAAATCTCAGGCAGAAAAACAAACCAGGTACTTCTTTTTAAGGGTCATTCTTTTCCCATTGAAAGAGGAATGATGCTTGACTTACAAGGTGGCTGTGGAGCCAAATGAAGATCTTAGAGCTGCCTGGTTTTCCCCCATTTGCACATGCAGGACCCCCAACCCCTATAGATACCCTTCAAATACAGGGGATAGAACCCAAAGGAGATTTCACTTACACCCAGAAATAATTCCTGTGAGATCCCAGGTGAGTGCCACATTATATTTCTGTCCTGATATTCTCTTCCCTTGGATATTGTCACATCTGCTGGGCACAGCTGCCTCTTCTCCTGGGTCCTGCTCCTTCCAAGCCCCCCCTGCCCCCCCACAGCTAAGATGCCGGGTCCTCCAGCTGCGAAGCTTCCCTGATTGCTCTGGAGTCCCTCCTGGGCCAAAGCTGAACTGTGTCTCCTACAGATAAATGGAGAATGCCCCTCCTTCAGCTTTAATATTGTACTTATCCAGGTGCATAGCATCCCAGTGCTTAACCTCAAGGTCTTAAAGAGTTCTTAGCAAAATAATCCCTTTTTTTCCTGAAAGCCTCATCTTTTCCCCAATTCATTCAAACATGAATTTACTGAGACAGGCTAGGAGACAAATTTGTGGGCCAGCCATAATGCTGTGTATTCTTTTTTTTTAAATTTTATTATGTTAGTCACCATACAATACATCATTAGTTTTTGATGTGGTGATCCACGATCCATTGTTTTCGTATAACACCCAGTGCTGCATGCAGTACGT